ATGAAAGAAGCAATACCATTTGCTTATGGAGCAGGACATGTTCAACCTGATGCAGCTATGGACCCGGGGCTTGTTTATGATCTGACAATCGATGATACTTGACCTTCTTATGTGGTTATGGCTACAATGAAACACTTATTCAGGCATTATGGAAAGCCCCTTCACTTGTCCAAAGTCAACCAATGTGCTGGATTTCAACTACCTTCAATCACAGTGCCCATTCTGGGGACAAATACAGTCAAAGTTACAAGGACAGGACGAACGTGGGAGACAAGCAAGTATTTCGTGGATATTAATGGTTCCTAAGGGACTTAATGTCTTTGTTGAGCCAAGTCACTTGAGATTCGGCAAAGTTGGTGAGAAGAAGAGCTTCCAGGTTATGATAGAAGGAACTGGTCGCACAGGCCTGCAGCTTATTCTTTTGCAGAGATAATGTGGACAAATGGGAAAGAAACCAGTGAGAAGTCCTATAGTGGCGCACCACAAGTAGGGGTGATGATTACGAGGATCTCTTGTTATCTTAGTTATGTACGTCTTTTAAGATGGTTTGTTCATTGTTTTTGGATTTTAGAAATTTGTTAGTATGGATTATAGATATGACATTGGTGGAGTTTCATAGTAGCCTCTGCTTGGCTTTTCCGACTGTCAAAAGGTACATAATTGTGTTTTAGACTCTTAACATGATTTTAAGAAATTACTAGGGGCATATAATTTGTCAAAAGAGTTTAGTACTAAGAAAAACCCTTTTAGATTTAATTTTTACAAAACTTCACTTAATCATAGCATTAGCCTAGTGAATTTTGGCAACAGATGGAATTGGAAAATTAAGAAAAATGAGAATACATATACAAACGCGCGCGCACACATATATATATAGTTTAAATCCATTTGCACGTGCAAGGGGAGTACCCTTCGTTAATTACATTCACACAAAAAAAAAACTTTGAATTAATATAAAAAAAAAATTTCCAACTAGCGGTGTTATTGCGACAAACAATTTAAAGTGTCTAAAAACAAGTCATGCTCGTACCTTTGAATACACCCAAAACAAAGTTACTACCTTGATACTTAATATAAGAATAAATTAATTAATTTGAAAAGATTAAAAATATTAATTAATTGTTTGTAATTATTGTTGATTTTTTTTATTACCTTTTATTAATTATCTGTATTAGGCTAAACTACTAATATAAAACTTTTAATATGTAGAATTACTATAAGAATTACTTTTAAAAAAACGAATATATACATAAATTGAAAATAAAGTAGATTAATTATGTGCATTAGCTTGAAACTACTAAATGAAACCTTTAGGACAAACTTATGTCAAGTGCGTTAGGTCCGTTAAGTTCCATTAACCAATTAGGTACTGCCACCTGGATTATTTTTCGAATCAGCCCTTAACCCCTTAGACCATCGTTTGCCACTAAAACTTTAGGGGGGAAAAAAAGTAAAAAAGGAAAAAAGGAAAAACAAAGAGAGAGCCAAATCGGAGGGGCATGAGAGTTCCCCATAAAGACAATGACAACTTTGAAAGAAACCTCATTCAGATCCTTGGGAAATTGAAAACTTGCCTGAGTTTTTTATGAATTCAACTAGGCCTAGCAAAACTCCATTATTATCAATCAACCTGTTAAAGGTGATAATTTCCTGCTGTTCTTTTGTATTTTCGAATCCAATTTTTCTCCTCCAATAACCATTTGTTGCGTAATCATAATTTGTTTTGCTTCCGTAGCTTCAGTCCCCAACAACGATGCTTTAGAGGATAAAGGAAGAGGGTTACTGAGAGAAGAATCTGTAAAACAACTTTCTTTTGGTTTTTCGATAATCTCTTCCTTCGACACAGCAGGATGTCTTCCTCCGCCATGAGCATCTTGATGTCCCCGTTCCATTTTTTTTTATTCCTCCATACACTGGATATTGATCTTCCTTTGACAGAACCAGGCCATCGGAACTTTCAAAATGCCGTTGTCATTGTTGGGAAATCCGACTTTGTTTTCTTTAGCCCTTGCTCTCATCGCAACTCCTCTCCTTTTTTTCTTAAATTTTTTTTCCAGAAATTTTAGTCCACTAACGGGAGTTTACGGGGTTAAGGGCTGATGTGGAAAAAAATTAAGGTGGCATTTTTTCATGGCTGACTGGACCTAATGGATCCAAGTAACTTGACCTAAGTTTTCTCCAAACCTTTAATATGTACAACTACTATAAGGATTATTTTTTAAAAAAAAGATAAATATTGAGATATATATAAATTAAAATCTTATATTTAGAACTAAATTGAATGCTAAACTAGTTGTTATATTAAAAAGCAGAAGTAGATTTTGTGGGCTTTATCTACAATTGGCCCACACAAGTTCACAATTGACATAATTATTTACAGTCGAACAGATTTGAAGAGGGAGTAGTGGGTTTTTTCACACCTATAGCAAGTTACAACATTCTGAGGCCATATTATTCCAGCTTAAATATAAGTAATAAGCCCTATCAGAATCTTTTTAAGCAAAAAAAAAAAAAAATCCTGGTAGTGACTGACTAAATGTAAACAAGAAGAAAAGGATTTATAAAACACACATTGTCTAACGTTTGTTTGGAAACAAAGATTGTTTATTCCAACCTGTTGTCTTGTACAGGTGAATATCACAGCTTGAACCTTATAACTAAACCATAAATTAGACCTATCCAATTGAATCAAAACAGTTCCTTAGCAGCATGAAACATCACCTGCTCGCCAATTCCATTTTTATAGAATTAAAATGAATGTGGAAACAGAAGCAAAAATACTATTTGCAGTTGCAGTAAACTAATTAATGGATTTAGAAACCCCCAAAAGAAAACCCGGCAGCTTGATCCTCATTGCCATTGAATAATTTAAGAGCTTGTACCACTGCTTCTCTTCCAAAACCTAACTCCACCAGCTTTGCTACTTTTGCTTCAAAATCACCCTCCTGCAATCACAGTGAAGCTCTATTATTATATTGATAGTATCTGGGATCACTAGCATTCACATCAATCGCATCTGAATTGCTTCAGAAAAAAAGAATAGAGAAAATGACGGGAATGATGCAAAACACTGAAACACTTCTTAGTTGCAAATTTACCTGAGAAGTGCCACCAGAAGCTCCTCCTAGAAAGAAATGGATAATAGCAAACGAATTAGAATGTTGAATTAACTATAATATCAGTATTATATATGCAAAATTTGAAAAGGAGAAATAACATGTTTGCGTGGATTAAACAGAAACTGCACAACTTTTACGTAAAAATTGTCTATAAAGTAAGGTTAATTAGAATATCAAGGAGGAATAAACTAAAGTATGGAATTTGATAGAGAGTTAGTAGGATGGAACGCTTCGTGGGTGTTTAAGTGGGTTGGTTATCCCACCTCAACACAGTTAGCTTCCCAGGTCCCACTTAGGGACCCATCAGAATTCCAATAAGAATCTAGTGAATTCCAATGAGTCAAAACATATAAAACTTTCCCCTGCAGAACAATTAGTAGGAACAAAATCCCGGTACTAACCTGAAGACTGGCCTCCTTTTGGTGCAGCACCACTCCGATCTGTTTGGTCCTGTTGCCTAAGGATAATACAAAGTTGTCAAAACAAAATCACTGAGCAAAGCAAAAATAAATTTAAAACACAATAAAAATTTGAAGTCATTTGCTTGATTAAATTCAACCGAACACAGTGTATACTTACTGGGCACCTGAGCTGGATGCTTCCTTAGCATACCTTTCTTCATCCAGAAACCGAGATGGTAGTCTTTTTCTGACCATAGCACACAAAAATGTTAACCAAGAGTTTAAGAGAGAGCTATACGAACACAAGCAGGAAAAATCTTCATGAATATGTTATGATTCCATCCACGGTAGAAAAGACTGACCTTGCAAAAATGGCACAGAAACTTCTCCTCCACCAACTCGCAAAACATTGTCCTTTTAAATCTATAATGCACTGCAGACACCAGAAAAATTTTCACAAAAAACACAGATTTTACTGGAAGTGAGGAGGATACCTGAGTTAGCAAATGAGTATCTTACCTGGTGCTTTCGAGGCATATCCAGCCCAAAAAGGAACTCCATGTTAGGAGCATCGAGCACTAAAAATGAGCAAGGGTAGAATATATTCCCAATCTACATGAAGAATGACAAACAAAGAGAAAGTGGGAAAGGAGACATACATATTAGAGAGGAAAATACTATAAGAGAATGGTCTGTCATTTCAGAAAGAGTAACTTTATCAAAACTGTAATGCACAAACATGAACCCTTTTAGAGACATAGAAAGTAATCATGCTCAAGTACATTGTATAAGAAAAATTCAGGATGCACCCTGTACCTAAAATGCAAATTTGGAATCCGTAGGCTATCATTTCAACCCTTAACCACATTATAAAAAAGTCCAGAATAGTTTGCTCTTTATTTAGTGATAAAATCTATTTTCCTATAAACGGAAATCGTACAAAAAGTGGTCAAGGGAGCCTGAAAGAGGTCACTACTTACTAATACTCCTTTGGTCCTAAATATAAGACCCATTTTGTAGTGTCAATTATTTACAAAATGGGTTTACTTATTGACACTACAAAATGAGGGTCTTACATTTAGGACTGAAGGAGTATTAGATAAACAGATACAATAAAAGATTCTTCTCTAGGGAATATTCACGTATTATCAAACTGTGAACTTTGTTCCCTAAAGTCAAAAGAAAACCAGAACACCAAATATGTTTGAGCATGAAATTGGACATCTGTGCTAGTCCATTCGACATACAATTATAATCTACCAGATAGCACAGGACACTAAGATGGACACAACTTCATCCGCCTGAAAATCATCACCACACAAAAATGGTTAGAATAATTTACCCTTGATTGGAGCTACATGTATTCGTCCTAATATCTCTGATTGGCCAACTCCATGAGCAATTCCTTTGTAACGCTGGTCTAAAGTCTTAACAATCTGAAAGATGGCATGAATATTTAAAAAAAGCATCCTCTCATTTCAAAATCTAGCACACTATTGAAACCAGAATCTGTAAATGCAAGATAATGATAAGAAGAGTCATTATGATACCTTACAGGCGTAGAATTTAAGAGAAGATAGTCATAAATTATCAAAAACAGGGAAAAGACAAATTTCAAAGAATAGCCGTCTAGATTTCAAGATACTGTCATCAGTGCGACACTAGGAGAAATGTTCATTCAATATCCTTTAATAATGACACAGGAAGATAATTATTAAGTGCATCAAGCATATTTTACATTGCAGAGTTATCAAACCAGCTCTAACGTTCCTTAAAATCATTCATGGACTCATCTTCCTCAAACAGTCAGAATTCTCGTTGCATGGTGCACAAGCTTAGCAAGTGGAAGTCAGACCTAAAAAATGACTAAAGCTCTAACACAGCATATAGAAAAGTGCACGATCATAGACTTTTTTTTTTTGTTTTGTTTTTTTGGCCAGGATCATATACTATGCTCCTTATACTATCCTTTCTCTTTCTTTTCCTTAATCGAGTTATTGTTTAGACCACTAGCACAAATGATGAACCATGTTCCTCAAAAGTTTAGACACAGCCAGCTATGGGGTAGAGTACTTTCATGGGCATGCAAATATGTCATCATAACAAATTCAATAAACATTAAACTATCTATAAATGCCAAGGAGAAAATTCCAGTCCAACAAATGTTACTAACACATACCCACAGCGCTCAGCACAGCTTTTTGATATAATCGTAGACTGGGCTCCGCTATCAACAAATGCCTAGAAAAAGATATCATAAAAAATCAATGCAACATAAATTCCATTCTGTATCCCCTTCCATTGAAAGGAAAATGACGCCATCATACTTAGTATTCTCTGCCAAAATAAACCCTATGATAGGCATTAATAGCTCTCCCCACTACAGAATGTGTTTTCTTTCTCATTTTCAAAGCAGAAATAACCCTGAATTGAAGAATGCACTCTCTGTAACTGTACACTTACTTTCAGTGGGACACCATTAACCTCCATGTCAACATACAACATGACCTGAAGAATTACATAAAAATCATTAAATTAATGATGAAAAAAAAAAAGATATTAGCAATGGATACAGAATTGTAACATACCACTCTTGCAAAAGCTTCGGGATTATGTTCTAGTGCAGCTGCCCAGTTTCATCAATTCCTTTCTGTAAACACAACGTCAAAATTCTGTCATTCAAGTAGAGTAATATAATATTTTGCTTCAGAAATGGGGGAAAAAAAGTTTATTATGGCACCATCATAAATTATTAAGTTTATTATGGCACCATCATAAATTATTATGAGCATTAAATATGGAGCATGGAACAAGTAATAGGTTGCATTAAAGGAGGTTAACTAATGACAAATTTTACAATAATTAAATATTACCTTTCCAATTTTAATCTGACCTTAAATTCATCTAACAAGGTAATATTATAGTTTACTTTAGCCAAGGAATTACCAAAGACATTCTCCAAAGCTCGTAAAAAAATGTTAGTGAGATAATGAAGATTAAATTTAAAAATTGTTCTTCATCTAAGAAATAGATAAATCTTGAAACATATTGAGCATCTAGCCCTCTTTTAAATATAATTAAGCATAGAATAAATCATTGCATGCCATAAACACTCAAAATATGCCCACATAATCACATAAAACAAATCATACTTCGTGGAAACAAATTAAACAAGTGATAATAAGTGATAAGTAACAACACATACTTCATTAAAAGCACAACCTGAGAAATCCCAAGGTCTAATAGAGTATGTATTTTCAGTCCAGATGGAACGTATAATTAGTTTTAAAAGGAGAGAGCCCCTTATAAAACATTTCAAGAGCAATAAAACTTATAATTATGCAGCTAATGTAACAAATAAGATATAAAATAGACTCACCTGACGAATAGCAGCTTCAATCTTCTTTTGTGCTTCAACATCAAAAGGATCTGCATAAAGAAGAGCCTAAAGTGGGGAAAAGTCAAACAAGTCATTCTGTCAGCACATTCTAAGTCTGATTAGTAATTCACACATTTTATTCATGAAATGGGTTGGATTGATATTAGTCTGGATACAGAAAAATAATTCTATTAAATCTAATGTACTTAAAATCACATAGAGCCAATCTGATTTTCTCTTAAAATGATGATCAGTCACACCAACAAACAGAGCCAGTGAGATCAATGTGATCACATCTCTTACAGATACATTAGACATAAAATACCTACACACACACACACACTGCCAACACACATAAAAATATATATACAATATACAGAATAACATGTTCCTCCTCTTTTTGACGCTGTAATTCACAACTGTGGAGGAAAGAAAGTCACTGGAGATCCTACTTACAAGTTCCTCCTCTTTTTGACGCTGTAATTCAGCTCTCTGTTGATGACGTGCTCGTAGAATCTCCTGTATTCTGTTAAGATCACTTCCTAGAATAGCTTGTGCCAACTCTGGATCGTTCTGTAAGTAAGAAGGTCATTGCATAGCAAGCCATAAAAGAAAGATACAGAGGACAAGTAATTACATAAATTGTCTGAAAATCATATAACTTGAGAAATGATGCATTAGGTCTACTCATTTACCTGAAAGAGCTGACCTATCAGGTTAGAATCCTGTCTAATGTGCTGCTGGAAAGAAGCAGGATTAACAGCAGATCCATCAGGATTGAAGCCTAAATCATTGGCAGATGCACTGGATAAAGAAAAAAGAATTTGTCACAGAAAGCATTAGCTATAAAAAATAAATAAAAAATCCATTTCAGCATAAATCTAGGCATTCAAATATCAACGCAAGTTTACCCAAAGAGGCTTTCATCATACATTATTAACATAATAGTTTACTATCTTCATTCTTTTACCATTCAAACATTCAAATTACATGAATGACAAGCAAATGACGATAGCAAAGTCAAAGAGTAAAAAATCTTCTGACAGAAAGATAGAGAAACTCTTCAGAAAAACAAATTAGATGGAGAGAGCAGCACTAGAAAGCCAGACTTTTCCTCATCGCAGAAGGATCATGGTGGTCAGGGATGTAACAATGCATATCATCCCAAAAAAATTGCAACAATAACCACAAGCAAAGATCATAATTAAGTGGCATAAGAACGAGTGATATTGCAATGCGGGGATTCCTTGATTCACACCTAAAAGCAAGCAGACCATGCGCAGAGCACAGACATTCAACTCCCCCCCGGGGAGTGGAATAGGCAGAATGTCAGAAGGGGGTTCCAACAAAGAAAAAAAAAGAAGGTTTCCCAGCATTACCTCGTAACATTGCAATATAATATTAAAGAAGAGCTTACCCAGAAGAAACAGCAGAGACCATCATCACCAAATCTTCATCTTTAACACCGAGAGCACTCAATTTCTCAGAATTACTCATCTCCCTTCCATTATAGAGAAGTTGCTGTTGCTGAAGAGGCACTTGTGTCTTCATAGATGCGTAAGGTTAACATCAAGGAAACAAAGTAAGACATCATTAACGGACCAATATGCACAAGAGAAGAAAAACATAAGATTCAGTCTCTCATGCACCACTCTGATTGCTTTTGCCTATTAAAATCTAAAAGAAATTACAAACAAGTTGACTATAATGACGCATTAGTCAGCCATCAATAACATCACTCCACAGTCCAGCTTTTGCTACAAAGTCCTCGACCAATGAAAATTGTAAAATTCAAAACTTTCTATTAAATATCGTTCCCTGTTCTCAGCAATATTGAAGCATAATGCATTGTAGAAGAAAAGGAGCAAAATTAAAAAGCAGAAAAAGAGGGAAGGGTAATGGGGAACTCACTTCTACCTCAAGCAATGCCTTGACGTTTTCCACCTACCACAAAGAAAGCCAAAATTGTAGATAGCAATAGCAAAAGAAAGCTTATCAAACAAAAAAGGCGAAAGAATGATGATTCCAGATTCTTACAGATTCATGGGGATCAACATCCAACGAAAGTATTTGTTCATCAGCAGTCATTACAGTGATCCTCATCTTCAACTTCTTGCTCCGGTTCGATCCCTTTGCCTCTCTCTAGATTTGCGATACCTTTCTTAGCGCAGGAGAAAAGGACGAGCTTTTTATATGCAAAGCCTTAGACTGTGGGAAGACCAGATTTCCCTCAAAGGTATCGCTTCCTAATTGCTCGCTTGCTTTGCTTAGTGACTTGGGTTAATTGGGTTAGATTCAAACGCGTCTCTTATCCGCGTTCTTATCAAAAAGACACAAAATTTAACTCCATAGGTTAGGGAACTCCAAATTCCTAGTTACCCGTTACCAAACAGGGCTCCGAACCTGGGACCTCAACGTTGAATTAATTTACTATCCATAAAATGTTGAATAAAATAAATAAAATATTTGCTACCTGCAAGGCTGAAGGACCGAAAGAAGCGTCCTCCCTGGTCCAAAAAAAAAAGAGAAAGAAAGAAAAGAAGCGTCCTCCTTTTACGTGAGTCTCAGCTGTTATTCTGCCTCGTCGGGTATTGCCTTTTTTTTAATTAAAAAATAAAATAATGAAATTGTTCAAGGATTTAAATACTTATACTCTATAAAAAATTATTCTATACTTCTTATCAATTTTTATATAGACAATGAAGGATATTTTAAATTTTTGTCTAATAATTTTGAAGACATAGTGTATGAATTTGAAAAAATGCAAGACCTTACATATATTTATTACTATCCTTTGACAATAAGTTAAATATTTGGATTTAGTTCATGTTAAAAGTTTAGTAATAGTTTTTTTTTAAAAAAATGGGGTTTATAGACCATTAAAATTGCAAACTTTAAAATTTATTTGTATACGATATTGATTATTCAACCTTGACAAGGTCCCTTATTGACCCCAAAAAGAAAATCATGGAGTCCTTCTTTGACCTCGTTGTATACTTGTGTTCGGCCTTTTTAAGATTTCTTATAATAATTATAAATTAATTTTATATTTATTTGTGAATTATACTTATCTGATGCGAATATCGTATTAATAAAGTCTCTCCTTTTTACACTACAAAATTAAAGACAATAAAATTCATGTACATCAATATACAATATATCAACCATGTAACAGGATTATAAAAAGGGATAAATAATTTATCCACAAGTTCTTTTTGGATAAAAATCATTTGATATATTCTTAAATGTCTTTTAAAACTTAGGATTGACCCCACAGATAGATCTCTGATCGGTAATTCTAAGTTAACCAATGCTTTTTTTTTTAATTTGTTGCATTTATTTTAAATATTATAATATAAATTATTTATTATATTATTTATTAAAAAATCAAATATTTTAGTGTAAAGAAATCTACCAAATTTTTATTTGGACGAATTAACTAATTTTCAGCCCCAACTCTATTAAAACTGAGCTTGAGTGTCCAAGTTAAAAAAAAAAATGGCCTGGGCTCATATGACCTAAGTCCAAAAGGGCCGAAGAAGCCCATTTCGCCAATTCTAATAACAAAGGCCATGTAAATCAAAAGCTCGTGATAAGACGTGGTCGATTCCAATTAAAAAAATAAAAAAAAGATAAGACATGAAGACGTAAGTACACGTATTGATTTCTTAAAATTGAAATAGCCAAAATCTCAAAATCAACATTTGTTTCAAAAATGTTGATCTTCACTCTTTGAACGCTCATGGATCTACAGTCTTGAAACAAATCCCCAGTAATATTTTTTTAATTAAAAGCTAGCCAAAAAAATTCCAAACAAATCTCCAACAATTTACAAACAAAAATAAGTGAAATTATTTTTAAAAATTCAATAGAAGGAAAATATAAAAATAAAATAACAGGAAAAAAAATAAAAACTTACAACTTCACTTTTCTATTTTATTTTGTTTAGTTTTCTCCCCCTTACCTTCCCTCCATTCCCCTTAACCAAACTCTTTCTTATTATCATGTTATCTTGTGTTTTGAATCCATATGACTCTTGACTTTTCTCATATAATACTGCATTTGGTTTTAAACGTAACATCTAATTTGTAGTACAAATCGTATTATGAACTAATTTTTATATTTAGGACTAAAATAGTACTAGTTATTGCTTAAAGATATTTAAGGACTTAGATTCTTAAGCTCGCACAATTTATTTTCAGTAATTATAACTTTTTTCCCTATATACAAATATTTTCTGTTTTGCATATAATTAAGTATAAATTGCAGATAGTTGAAAAAGAGTTGCATATATTAGATATAGGCTATACCTAAATCCTTAAACAAATTTCGTGTATTCTAGGCAATAAATTTTATGATGAGGAAGTTTCAGTCCTTTTCTCATGAATATTTAATGGAGGCCTTCAAATATGATACACGTGTTCTGGCCAAGTAAATAAAAAAAAAAAAAAGACAGAGACGCATGTTGTTGGACATATTGGCCTTCAAAGATTAGACGTGCACTGAATGAAGGAATTCGTGCTCGTCACAATGGCCATATTGTTGGACTATTTCTTCCCCACGTCTTTATACTCTTGTTGTATGGTAGCTTCAAGGGCGCAATTTTGACTTGAGAGCAAATCGGGTCAACGAATTCAAGCCCCAAAGGAATTGTTGGTCGGCGAATTAGGCTCAAACTGAGTCTCCTGCGTTTAAATGAATTAATCCTAAATTTTTATTAAGCTACAATTTTCAAGCAAATAATCCTCTTAATATATTTAACTCAGTTAAATATATAAAAATAATATTTTAAACCCTTGCGTACAAATTAATAAAATAGAAATTCAGTATAATACGACATAAATTAGTCAATATCTATATTTATTTTTTAACAAATATTATTAATTTTAAGGGAAAACTAACATGCAGGTCCTTATATTTTTATCCCACTTTGAATCAAGTCCCTAACGTTATTTTCTATTTTATGGGATCCTTAATGTTTCAACTGTTATATCTGTTAATCCTTCTGTTTACAAAACGTTAAACTGAGATTAAACACCGTCAAAGATCCCAATATAGTAGATGAGTGGATCAGACGTGGCAGCCCATTCTCTTTCACCACTATAGAAGACCCTGCCAGTGATTCCCAATTCTTTGCCCAAAGCCACCTATAAAGGGCAAGTTCCAGTTCGACGCTCCTCCAAACATCGTCACTCCGCCTCTAAATAGAATGACATAACGACAACACATGTCCTCCCAGACGCACTTGCTGCCGGCATAGTCTTCTCGTCGTTGTTTACTGTTAAAATCAAACCCAATTCCTACCATTGCCACTACTGACCTCTTTGGCCGAACTATGGCTTCTTTCCCATATGTAGTTTTCAAAGTAAAAGAACTAAGGTCACACAAGATTTAGATACAAGTTACTTCAGCATCATTGCTCACAGGGGGAGGTTTCTTACACCAGTAAGCTTGAGGAATTGATTGTGAAAGTTTGAAAAATAGAAGCCCCTTGTGAGTTACGTTCTCCTCATTGTCCTCTTCTTTTCATTCCAGGAAACATGAAATGCTATTTGAAGTTTGGATCTATCCATTATAGCTTTAAAATCATTTTAAACTCTAGTTCGATATATAAAGTTTAGCAGTTAGAAAAGATGTGTGTCTCCTTGTTGCAGATTTTGACCGAAATAATACATAAAATATTGAATATGTGTGTGTATGTATATAAGTTGATGGTCTTTACCATCCTTCATCGCTTTTATTTTTTTGCCTTGTTTACTATGCATAAAAGCTCCTCTGTTTACCTCTCTTTTCCTTAATAGAAAACAAAGGCAAACCAAAAAGGGTTATTTGCCTCAATGATTTACTGTGCTTTCTAAGGAAATTTGTTTGTTTTCTCTTCATCTCTTTTTAAAAGGATATTTACCTTCGTGACCAATGATACTTCTTAGCACTCGCTATCAATATCCATTCACTCTGTTATTAAACTTCCATATAGAGTATCCGTTAAAATACATAAGGCTTTGCGCCAATTCATGGGAGTAAACTGCTCACTGACCCTCCTAAACATCTCCTGAATTGATGTTGAGTTCCCAATGTAAGTTGATGACATCTTAACATCACATACACTGGACCTTGCATTGTTAGGAATCCACTCCACAAAGCATAACGAATACATGGATTAAATTATGTATATGAAAAATTTAAGTCTCCCACCCCAATATGCTGGACCCATGGATGAAAATTTTAAGCTCGACAAATCTTCTTTTTGATCATAAAAGTTTAAGGAGAGTCGAACTGGGACTTGCCCTCTGCAGGTGGCCTTGGGGGAGGAATCGAAAATCACTAGCGGGGCCTTCTATAGTGGTGAAGGAGAATGGGTTGCCATGTCTGATCCACTCGTCCATCGTCTTAGGATCTTTAAAGGTGTTTAATATCAGTTTAACATTTTGTAAACAGAAGGATTAACAGATATAACGGTTGAAACATTAAGGATCTCGTAAAATAAAAAATAACTTTAGGAACTTGATTCAAAATGGGATAAAAATATAAGGACCTACATATTAGTTTTCCCTAATTTTAATATGAATATAATATTAGTGAAGATGCCCATATCTCTCATTTAATTGGAGAGAGATGCCCGTACGGTTAGGGAGAGAACCCCTCTAAATGATTTAGACGAAATCTAGGACAAGGAAGCACAAATTTTCATTAAGCCATATGTTTTAGACTAAAAAATACCCCTCTTTTTCGCTTTCAAAATAATCAGGAACAAAGACGCAAATGATCGATGTCCAGTGAGTGGTCAATATGTACTAAATATTGATGGACTATACAACTTTGATTTTACATTGTGAATGGAAGTTTCAGGTTTTACTTAAATAAATAAAAAAGAATCATTTTACGAAAATTTGAAATTTGGAATTTTATCCAGAAAAGATTCAATAACTTAATATTCTAACTTGAAACCATTAAATCAACCAAAACAAACTTAATAGTAAGCATTTTTAACGAGAGAGAACTAGTGCTTGTTTATCTAGAATAAAGTCAATTGCACATATTTGCTATATGAAGAGAATCATTTACGTATTTTCATGGGAATGGAATTGATAACATGCTGCAAGAGATGGTGAGAGATGCTGGGAAACTATATGCGTGTTTATATATATATATATATATATATTGCCAACAGACATAAAATATATATACACTATTGATCATAAGTTAGAAGGTTACTATCTAAAATAAATTTAAATAATTCAACTAATAAATTCATACATAAACTATTGATCATGAGTTAAATAATGAGGAAGGCTTAATCAAGAT